AGTTGTACTAGTCAGAAGATTGTGTCTGCCAGAAGTTGTGTTACTAGAAGCTGTGTTATTAGAAGTTGTGTGGGCTAGAGGTTGCATGGTCAGAGGTTGTGCTGGCCAGAAGTTGTGTTGGCCTTTACGTTGTTTTCATACAGAACGATGAATGTTAGATGCTTAGAAGCTGTTGTTTGAGCTATAACAGTAGGATAGTGACGGTCTTGACGTTAGAGTTACAGAATGGCTGTATTAATTTACTGTGGAAATTAAAATACAGCTGAGTTGTTAGTGAGAAGTTATTAATAATATTGTGTTGATGATTTATAATAAATAAATGATGTTTGATAAATTATTTTGATGATCTGAGATGTTGATTATTTAAGATGTTTTTGAGATGATAATTTGAGATGTTTTTGAGATGTTATTTTAAGATGTATTTTGAGATGTTAATTTGAGATGTTTGAGATGTTATTACTTGGGTGTTGATATTACATTCATGGTTGTGTCGCTTACATTGCATTTTTTTGAGATAGAGCTTATGCTCGTTGAGATGGCCTGGATTGACAAATTTTGAGATGAAGGCTATGCCTTGTTGGTGCCTCTATTAATTGGAAATTTTTTGAGATGAGAGTTCTGCTCCAATGGTACCACATGCATTTGCATAGCATTGAGTCGCATTTTATGATGGCATAAAGAAGTTGTATTGATGTTGATGAATGAGTATATATGTTGCAATATTGTTGATTATGAGATGAGGAGTGGTGATGTTGTTGATTTAATTTAATATATTAATTATCATGTACTTTATTATATTATTAGATATCTCACCCCTTATGTTTGAATGTTGCCCTTGTGTTAGTAACGTGCAAGTAATCGAGAGTGAAGGTTGTATACCTTCAGTAGTTCAAGTCGGTGTCATTGCTCTGATATGTAACACGGGGGGATGAACGTTTGCTGATTCTTGATTGTTGATTTTCAATGTTGAATTTTAAATTGATTATTATTAAATATGAGATGTTTCAAGGTTTCTGTTTTGTTTAAAGATGTTATTGAGAATTCCGCTGCGTAGTTGTTGAATTAACTTAATTAAAAATGTTACGACGATGGTTCATCCGATGTTTGAAAACGTGTTATATATCTACGACGAATGCAATGAATTTGTTAGAAGAATTTGTGACGTCCTGATTCATTTGTATGATTGAAATTTTATAACTCTGATTTAATTGTATAAGTGCTTGGGGTAGAATTGGGGTGTTAAACGCGGTTTGTCCGTCACGGAAGCCTAGGTTGTCCTCAAGGTGAGGGTGTTCCTGGCTTCCATCAGTCTTGTGAGCAGGGGAAATTATGGTCTTTCCGGGCATGTAAAGATCATTATGGTTGGCCATGATAAAAGAGATGGATCTTGAAAGAAAAGTTGCTTTGATCTTAGGTTTCGAGGGAAGAAAGATGGGGATAGCAAATTCCCACAGACGGCGCCACTGATCTTGCGGTTGATCAAAACCTGGAGAGTGGCCGGAGGATGATCTTCTGTCGGGTTGAGGAGAGAGGGGGTTGTATCTGTAAGGTACTCCAACGATCAAGTAAGAGTGGGAGCAAGAAGGTACTAGCAAAATATTAGGTAGTGAGCAGTGAATATGTGATATCTGACCCTCACAGGTGTGAGGGTTTATAAACTGTCTTTGACGTGTGGTCATTGGTTCCTGATCTCTCGCCTAGATATGCGGGTCCGAAAAATCAGGTAACTGTCAGGACTTGGTCAAACCGAGTCGATGTGCTCGTAACTAGCCGTTGGTTTCGGGGAGGAGGCTGGTTGCAGATATCTCTCTGGTCGGTTCCTGGTGGTCTGCACGACACTGGTGTCGGGCAGGCTGAGAAGACGCTCGACGGGCATCATGGATCGGTGCTGGACCAGAAGGGCAAGAGGGTGACATTGCCCGACAGGTGCGGGAAGTCCGAGTCACGGTCAGTGGGTGGCACCTATGAGATGTCTTAGACTGGGCCCACTCAAGCTTTCGGGCTAGTCCAGAATAATTTCACTCCTCACCATTTCCTTTCCCCAGATTCACTCGACCCACTCTTTCTCCAAATTTTGATTTTTCGGTAAACCATATAATTAGCTTATATTTTTCATTCTTCCAAACTTCACTCTGCCGAACTCCCATTATCCATAAACCGAATACTAAAACATCAAAACACCATAGACCTAAATCCATATTTGATTTCACAGTTAATGTAACTCATTTTTTCTTATACCGTAAAACTCTTCACAAAAACCCTTATTTTTTTCATCATCATCAAAATCTCTTACAATTTTGCTTTTCATGGTTGCCTCAGGATGCTAAGGGGAAAGACGTGAACCTCAGCTTATACAAAGGAAAATCTCAGCTTATACAAATGGTTCCCTCCAATTATACCCTGAGCTATACCGCATATACAAAGATAAAGATATAGTTTTTAAGGGTTTGAAGATTTTGGTTTTAAAGATTTCGTTATTAGAACATGAATGTGTTTGTGTTACATTGATATTGTTGTTAATGGAGAAGAGAAGATACAAATGCAAAGCTTGAAGGTTTCGTCAATGGCAAAAAAATTAGTGTTCTTTACTTTTTTTTTTGCTATTACGATTTTTAGAAATTGTTGCTGGGATGGTTTAAATCAGAGCGTACACGCGACGTAAATCTATTTACCACCGAGAGTTTTTTTCTTAATTTAAGATTTGGAACTTAATCGTAGTAATATTTTAGCATTTTTCAGCAGGATTTGATTTATTTAATTTTTAATTTAATAAATAAATGGTGAAATCATTTAGATGCAAGACATTAATATTCTATTCCAAATTCATTCACTTGCTTTTTATTCTATTTTTTAATGATAATAGTGATTCTGATAGTGTTTCCCTTTTCCAGTTTTTTTGTATTTTTTTTTTAAGTATTTTTTAATTTTATAATTGTTCATTTTGCAGATCTCAAATAAATTTGAAAATTTTGATTGTTTGCCTTTTTCGCCTGTGCTTAGTTTATAGTTACACTGTTGTACGTTTTAAAATCAATATCAAATATCACTTATATTGTAGTTTCAATGTTATTCCTTTGATGGTTGAAATGCTACATGCCAACTGTAACTCTGTTAAATTTTATGCAGAGAGTTGGTTGTACTGATGGATTTCCTGAAGCAGTTCATTGTAGCTGAACACATTGAAAACTACCTCTGCAACCACGGTTGGCATAACGCAACAATCAAATATCTTTCTTTGATGGAAGGAGACAAAGTCATCCCTATGTGTTTCTTTTATTTATTTAGATATAGATAAAAATAGTGATGCTGATTCTTTTATTTATTTAGATATAGATAAAAATAGTCGAGTGATGCATAAATGTTGATTGCTGACTCTAGCAATTGATTGTTGTTTATGTTAATGTTAACAGAGAAAAGCAGACATAAACAAAGCACAAGAATTGCTTGACTGAGAACCAAAGAAATTTGTTGGTACTTTTTAAAAAGAAAGATGTATTGCTATTATCCTTATAGTTTAGATATTATTTTTCTTTCATTTTACTTTGATTTTGATGTGATTTTGTTGGCAAAATAGAGCTAAAACCCAAATATTACTATTTTCTCTTTAGCTAACTAAAAATCCTTATTTTTCTATCTAGTTTAATATAATAAATTGGTGGTGGAGGAAATTTCATACAATGAATACCATTTATTTTAGTTGAGTTTGATTTGTTATTTTTATATAGGATGCATTATTTTTATAAATATTGTACAAGATCATTGCTAATTCCTTCTGTTTTTAATAGTAGATATATCAGTTTTGATGACCAATTGCATAGCAACAACAATTATTTTTCTCACTCCATTTTGCATGTAAGATGTGTTATCCTTCGAGATAGAAGTAGGCTGGGCTGTTAATAGAGACCTATAAACTAATCTATTTAGAGTCTGGTCCGAGCTATTTAATAAAAATGACAAGTTTAGACTTTTCAAAAAGCTTATTTAATTAAGTAAGCTAGACTTGAGCTTTAAAAAAAAAGTGTATTAGACCATAGGCCAGCCTATTTAATATTACATATATGAAGTCCAAAGGTCTTTGTATTATATAATATTAATACTTAAAAAATGATTTCTGAGTAATTATAATGAATTAATTAAATTTTAAGTAATATAGAGTCGCTAGTCAGTCGAACAAAGAAAATGCATTGGACATATTGAAAGGTGGAAAGGCAATTCACAATTTACTAGGTATTAAAGAAATAATAAAATTAAACAACATATTATAATTTATAAACAACACTGAGCAAAGAAGAGGAACATAAACACAGTTACAAAACCTTCTTCGACTCTTCATGTTCTCCACACCGTCGGTCCGTCTCCACGACGTTTGTCACTGCAACTCCATCCCCACCTGTCATTAAGTAAGCACGCAAAGAGACCTCTCTCACATCGAGCATCTGCGTTGCCGTCGTCATTCAGCACCGCCAGTGTCACCGTCATCGTGACCGTCTTTTCTCATATGTGGAGATCAAGTCACCACGTAGCTGAATATATGGTTAAGCCATTTCATTGATTCAGGATGGAAAATCCAAAAAAGGGTGTTGAGTTTTGTTAAAGTTCCTGCTCCAAGGCGTGGGATTGATGTGGCTGATGCAATTTTCAAGTGCTTAAAATCTTGGGGAATTGAGAATAAGATATTTTCAGTTTCAGTCGACAATGCTTCTTACAACGATTTGTGTTTAAAAAGTTTGAAGGAAGACTATCCATGTTATCCGCTGCATTAAAGTTCAGGATTGCATTTCCATCTTATAAGGAAAGAGAGCCACATTATAAGTATGAACCTTCAACTGAAGATTGGGACAATGTTGAGGAAGTTTGTCAATTTCTTGAAGTGTTTAATCTTGCTACTCTTGTTATATCAGGAAGTGAGTACCCTACTTCTAATCTATATCTTGCGGAAGTTGAGGGTCAAGCAAGTCATTGATAATGCAGCCGAAGATACAAATTCATTTATGAGAGAAATGACTGCTTCTATGAAATTAAAGTTTGACAAATATTGGGGTGCATGCAATTTGTTGATGGCTATTGCTAGTGTTTTGTATCCAAGGAGAAAATTTCATATTGTTGATATATGCTTTCCATTGATATATAAAGATGAAGTTGCTCAAGAGAATATAAAGAAGGTGAAGAATTCATTGGAAGAGCTATATGCTGAATATGTTTCTCTAAGTCTGCAAGAGTCATCTTCTAATGAAGTTCATACTAGTGGCATCAATTCATCATCATCTTCGACCCAATCTCAATCTTTAGTCATCACCGGATTTGACCGAATCATGAACATTGTGCGTGAAAAGGAAGTGAAATCAGAATTACAAACTTATCTTGATGAAGGTGTTTACATTCCAGATGGAGATAATAACGCATTGAAGTGGTGGAGGAACAATAGCTTAAAATATCAGATCTTATCAAAGATGGCTGTTGATATTCTAGTTGTTCCTATATCTACTGTGGCCTCGAAGTCTATTTTTAGTGTTGGCGGCAGAGTTATTGATGAATATCGCTCTAAACTGAACCAGAAATCTATAGAAGCACTTATTTGTGGTGGGGATTGGCTTCGTCACAAGTATAACTTAAAACAAAAGTCAAAGGTTAAAACTTCTTCTTTTCACATTATATTTGTATAATTCTTCTTACAAGTATAAATTTTAAACTTGTTATAGTTTTTAATTTTTCTTTCTTATTTTGAAGGTGGCAGCTGAGCAACAACAGGAGATCACCTTAAAGATTTGAGTCCTCTTTTATGTTTAATGGTGTTTGGCTTCTTGCATTTTTATTAATTTATGGTGTTGTTCATGTTAAAGACCAGTTGTTATATATAGAGCCGCATATTGCTTATGAGTTGAATACAGTGAATTTTCTGCTATTTCATGATGAATGATATGAGATGAAGCATACAATTTTTTTACTATTTTATTATATATCACTGCTCCAGGTTTCACTCTTATAAATCATTGTTAAATTAAGTTAATTACAATTAAAGTAAGCTGCTATATATCATTGCTCCTAGTTTTTTAATGTAGTTATATAAAGTCACAATTTATTTATGTTGATATTTGTAAATATATAATATTAAAAATATTTGTACGTAGAATAGTCTCGTATCGATTATATAGTGTAATTAGTTGTAATCTCTCTCTATATAATAAAGTCTCCGCAGTGCTTTCATAACACATGGTTTAACTTAAATGTCTCTTAGTCTCTCCTAATTCAATATGGTATCTAGAGTCTTCTAAGAGGCAACTCTTCGTCGTACTTTACCCGGTTGACCCACTGTCTTCCGGCGAGAAATTTTCTTCTGCAAACTGTGTCATCATTTCGGTTTGCCTCACCTTTTTTTCCAGCGATCTTCGTCAAGCACAATCCACAAGAATTTTTTTTCTCGGAGGACTACTGTTCACTGTCGCTGTCTATGTCCACTGTCGCCGCTACTGTTCACGATTTTTTTTTCTCTCTGGGAAAATCGACTTCCTCCTCCAGTTCCAGATCCGCCCTCGGTTTTTTGTTTTCGACTCACAGAAAGTCGTACTCTTGTTCAAGCAGTCCTCGTTTTATGTTTTAAGCCATGGGAGATGCTGATTCTATCTCGTTTACTAAAGTTTCGCTTATCCCATGTGAAAAACAAGCCGGATCATCCAACTATAACATATGGGCTCGTGCTGTCGAGATGTAGTTTCACGGTCAAGGATATGAAGAACATCTAACCATTCAATTGAGTGACGTTGCAGCCGTCAAATTCGCTAAATGGAAGAAAACTGATGCCTCTTTATGTACTGTGTTGTGGTTTTCCATAACACCTAATCTCCAAGCGCAGTACCAAGCATTCTCCACTTGTTATGAGATGTGGCAAAAGGCCAAGAAAGTCTTTTCCAACGACGTTCATTCTCTATACATTGTCATCTACAAACTCAACACACTGAAGTTAGAAAATATGGATGTGCAAGCTTATCTGAGTAAGCTTTATGCCTTGAAAGCAAGTTACGCAACCCTCATGCCTTACGCAAAAGATGCAACAGCTCATGCTGAACAATAGAGTAAATATTTCATGGTCATGGCACTTAAAGGACTACCATCAGAACTCGAATTTGTTCGTAACCAGATTTTATCAGGTACTACTGTTCCTAACTATGATACAGTTAGTGAACAATTATTGCGCTTGACTACACCTCATGCGTTTGGCCCGATTTCTTCTTCATCTATTCCAACACCAGGTGGCACTGCTGCTCTTGCATCTCTTGGCAACAATCAGAATCTCCTTCGAGGAGGGTCATCCTGTAAGTCTCAGAGTGCCTAAGAGGGGGGGGGGGGGGGGGGGGGGTGAATTAGGTCTTATAAAAATTTATTCGGTTTTATGAGAATGCTTGGTAGTAATTTTTGGTTAAGTGTTTGAAGGTTTTGATTATATCTTTATCTTTTCCTGATTATGGTGATGAAAGCGATAAATGCGGAAAAGTAAAGAACACGGTGATATATCATGGTTCCCCTCACAATCCGAGAGTATTCCAGTCCCCTTTCCAACACGAAAGAGATTTCACTATAGTTAGAATGATTGTACAGCCTATGCTTACTATCTAACCTATAGGGTGATCAAAGGTTCTTAACACCTTTAAGACCAAACAAACACTAATGTGAATGAAGAACAATCCTCTTCAAATCACAACACTTACTTCCAACAATCCTGGATAGTAAGGGAATAATTTCTTTAAGTAATACAATGATTTAGTTTGAAGTATATGGAGAGCTTTGTCAATCTTCAATTGATCTTCTTCTTCAAGATAAAAACAATTCTCAATAATGTATATAAATATTCACAATGTATGTATGAAACTTGTAATGATAATGAAAGTGTATATGCCAAGTTTCACAAAATTATGAACACATGAAAGTTTATGTGCAAATTTGAATGAATGAGAAAATTGTTAATATGAAGAAGGTTTTTTGTTGTTTGAAAATGTTATATGTGTTCTTGTTTAAAAACTGAAAAAAATCTACATTTTATAAAGTCATAAGAACCTCTTCATTCATGCCAATTCATATGAAAAGTTGCAATGCATTCATGAAAAGATACCACTTGAAAAATGTTTAAAAAACAAAATAAAAGCTGCACTGGTTCGCTAGGAACCGGTTCCGACACTGACAGAACCCGGTTCTTAGTGAACGTTATAAGTTGGAATTAAAAAAAAATCACGCAGGAACTGGTTCCCCTATTGGTACAACCCGGTTCCTGGCACAAAAACCAGGGACATGTTTTTTGAGAAATTCTGGAACCCGGTTCCCTGTTAGGGAGGAACCGGTTCCTAAAGGGTTATTTTCAAAAATACTTTTTGAAAGATATTTCAAACAAAGTTTTCCTTGATGTTAAAGTTATGGAATATGTATATGTTGATGAATGCATATTGTGAACATCTATATTCAAGATTTTAAGAATTATTTATACCATTTGACATTTGATGATTCTTCAATAATTCTTCAATAATCTTCAATAATCTTCAAGACTTTTATTTGATGTTGATAAGCTTTTTGCACATCCTTTGAATGTTGATGTCCATGTTGTCTTCATCAAAACACATGCTTTAAATATGACTTGAGAAGCTTGCAATTACATTCTCCCCCTTTTTGATGATGACAACCAAGTCTTGAAAACGATTTCTTGAAATGTTTATGTTGTTTTGTATAGCATACATGTTGAGCAAATGCAAGTGTGATACGATGGGAGAACTGACTATGGTTTTGCGTTTGTTTTCGCAAATGTTTCGGTTGAGCAAGAGTCGCCACCGACTTTTTATTTTATCCTAAGGAAAGGTTTAAAAAACACAGCAAAAACCTTTGAGATATTTTCTTGGGTTCGGGGAGTAGATTATAGAAAGGGAAGGTATTAGCACCCTTTCTATCCATGGTTATCCATGGGCTCTTAGGTACTTGCTTAGATCAACTTGCCTTGGTTTTCAATTGTTTGAAATGGTGCTTTGTGTGTGGTTTTGAAAATGTTTTGAAAAAGATGCCTTGTCTAGGCTACCCTTGTAACAATTCTTTACTCGAATGTTTTACAAAAGGTGTTTATCTTTTTGAAAAGATGTTTCAAGGTTTTTTGAAAGTTTGTTTTGAAAGTGTTTGTGATGTGTGTTTTTTTTTAAAAAATGGGCAAGTGTTTTGTTTTGCAAGTTGACAAGTACTTAAGAGCTATCTACCCTAAAGTTCTCAAAGATTTTTACTATGTTTTAACCCTTTTAACAATTTTGTTCTACCATTGCATTTGGTGGACAATCTTGTGTTAGGATGTGAAAGGGACGGGCGCGGGTCATCGTTTAGACCATAATTGCAATGGTGCCAAGTATCTTTGGGCAATTTTCCTTAAGGGACTTGATCATTTATTAGGAAACTTTTTGAAAGCGTCATCGAGGGACTATGATCATTTGATTGTTTTGTTTTGCCCAAAGAGACCTAACATGCAATATGGCCCATTTATTGAAGGCAACAAGTGGAATACCCTAGGGTTGCAAGTGTGATATGTGTTGTCCATTTTCATGCTTGATTATCTTGAAATTAGGTCAAACTATTTTGTTGTTTTTATTTGCATACAAACCCTAATTCTAGCATGGTATAATTAGAAAGCATTAAAGTGCGAAAATTAAAGTTCCTAAGCTATTACAACACAATATGGGAAGGGGGTACAAATGTTCAAATGGGGGTTTTTGACAAGAAATTTAAACCTAGCTATTACATCAATTTGGAATTATTTACAAGATAATCAAATGCACAAATTATATAGAAATAAGATAAATATGCAAGATGCCAAAAAATATTTTTATGTATATGAAAAAAGTATTTTTACATGTCAAAATAAAATAAAAGGAAAAGTATTATTTTTTTGAGTATTTTCCATGCTTTTAGGGCAAAACCCTAATTTATTAGGTAAATATATTAATTATTTAATATGTGCAAATATTTATCAATTATATACAAAATAAAATAAAAATGAAGTATATTTGTCAAAAAGGTATTTTTTATATTAAATATTAATAAAAAATAAAAGTGTGTATAATTTGTATTTTAACCTAAATATACTAATATATATATAAATGTTTGTATTATTTACTAAATATATATTATATATACAAAAATAATAATATTCAATATTTATAAAAAAAGTATATTTTATATCAAATATTTTCAGAAGATAAAATAAAATAAAAAATGGAATAAAAATGTGTTTGCACTATTTTTAGTATTTTTAATAAAAAGTGAATCTATTTATTTATTTATGCACAAATACTAATTCAAACAAATAAATGTCTAATAAATTAAAAAAGGTTTTTAAAAAATTATTTTTATATTTTTAATATTATAAGAAAAAATAAATAAGCCAGAATAAAAAAAGAAAAGTCAAAAAATCAATAAAATAAACAAAATGGGCTCAGGGAGTGCAGAAGTAAAAATGGGGTGTGAAAAGAAATACAAAAAACAGGCCCAGCCCACCAAGTCCTTCTTCAACCTCCAGCCAGAAATTGTTCAAAAAACGCGCGCCTGTACACTGATTCAAACATCTGGATTCCTTGACTTTTTGCACAAACTTACAACACCAAAAATGTTAAGCATTGAATCACGATTCTGAATATGTAAAGAACTCCTCCTAACTCTAAAAAATGAGAGAGAATTTTATCATTCCCAAATCTTAACCTAACTTTTTATCAATATTCAGACCTTAAATTCTCACAGCATATGCAAAATAAATG